CCTACTGCTTTCCTCTTTCTTTCTTTTTTTTTTTTTTTTTTCACAATTTCCACACATTGGGTCTGGGGTTTTTCATAGTTTCAGCCTATTTAGGCCATGTTTATGTATTATTGTGTTATGATGTCCTGTTGCAATAAATAGTTGCACCCAGCATTGTGGTTATATTTTATTATTGAAAAAATGAAGTAAAGTAGAATTTTGTAAATTCATTTTTACGGAATTTTTGTGAGCCCCATCCGGATCCGTTTTTAGCGTTTAGTAGTGCCATCATGGCCGCAGCTAGGCCGCATGCTTAAATTTGCTTTTGCCAAAACCCACCCTCCCACACCAATAGTTTATTGGCTGGATGCATTAGCTTATATCTTGCTTTTAGACCTTAAGTCATTGGGGCATTGTTGTTTACGTAGCTTTATTTTATTGCTATTTTGCTTTTGCTACTACATGAACAATGTATTACATGGCTACATGATTATTGTCAAAAGCTTGGGGTTTTTCATAGTTTCAGCCTATTTAGGCCATGTTTATGTATTATTGTGTTATGATGTCCTATTGCAATAAATAGTTGCACCCAGCATTGTGGTTATATTTTATTATTGAAAAAATGAAGTAAAAGCGACTTTCGCTCAGTTACGGCTTTTAGATATTACATATCGTTCTTGTTTACAAATGTTTTCCCGTAGTTTGATTCTTTCGTCTTCTGAGCATCTGTTTCAATATGCATGTACTAGTTCACTTTTCTACAAAGCCATTTTGTTGTATGATACCCGGCATGTATTTGGAAACATGAAGAACATAAATGACGAAGCTCCTGTTGATGGCGATGGTCCAACTGATGTTCCATTTTCAAGGTTTTAAGTGATACGTAAAGCCTATATCAAGTCAATAGATAGTCATCAGTGCTCTGTGTTGCTGACAACGGAATTCCCCAGTATTTAGCGCCTTCAAAGTATATCTTCGTTTCCATTACTTCAACAATAGTGTATTTTTTATACGGTCAGCTTTTACAGTTCTCTGGTGATGTACCCTAGATTTCATTTCTCAAACGCTCTTTTCTAAACTTGTTTTTAAACTAGTATTTCTGTTTGCATCTGTTTGTTAATCTTATCCCAGCCTGATCACTATACATAAATATTGATAATTACACACATCCAGTTTGGTTCGTTTCAATTGTAAATATATAACGGAAAGAAAAAAACATGATTCACGGAAGGAAGTAAAGAAAAGAATTCACTCGACTATGTGATATTCTAACATTTATACAGAAATATAATAAGAAGTGAGTAATGTGAAAGTGCACTTAACACAGTTATCTGTGTGACGAGATCCGACTTGAATTACTTGACATCTGCCCCTTAAAACATAAGCCACACCAGCGATTATATACGTACAGTTTATTTACAAAACATCGTATTTTCAGTATACAATATGTATATATTCAAAATCTACATACCAGATGGTTCTCTCTCCTCTCTCACTCTCTCGACCAGTAATGATATATATTTATATATATATAAATGAAATTATAAATAGATACTAAAGTGGAGAAAGTCACTTCAGCTTCCGATGGACATCTTGCAGCATCACTGACAACATGGTTTGCACATATAGGCTCTGTAACACACAAATGTTCTTATCCAGTCTCACCTCATCCAGTCGAATTAATGTTCACACAGGCCAAGAAAAGGTATGTGTTTGTCACACAGGCCTACGAGAGATGTATGTTTGTCACAAAAACCAACGAGTGATGTATGTTGGTCAAACAGACCAACGAGAGGTGTATGTTGGTCACACAGACCAACGAGAGATGTATGTAGGTCACACAGACCAACGAGTGATGTATATTGGTCAAACAGACCAACTAGAGATGCATGTTGGTCACACAGACCAACGAGAGATGTATGTTGGTCAAATGGAGACCAATTACAATGTTGGTCACTCAGACCAGGCTAGTAGGTAGTTACCAACTGTCTCTCTTATGCAAGTATAACAAGAGTCCTACAGACTCGAGTCCCAACCACACAGATTCAGATGAATATGTTGTCACTTAGTTGCTGACAAATGGTAACTGTCATCTTGGTATTCACAGTATCCACATGACCAACTGTCACTGGCCTAAGGTCAACCAGAACGTCTTGAGCCTATACCATACAGCATATCTAAGCGCATACGCCTAACACCTAACGCAGCAAATCTAACACTGCTTTTGTTTACATTCTACCCGGCCCCCATACATACACGTATATACACTACCCGTGCACGCACGGTGCCGAGTACACATACACATATACAGGAAGATCAATTAACAAAACACATCCGCTACGTTCAGTCATAATATTTTTATGTAGCTTATTACAGGTCTTAGCTTACCGCAATCAGCTGTTTGCACTTCCAAATGGCTATCACTCAAACTTGCCTGACAACTGTTCATACCAGTTCGATCATGCGTAACTTACTTACCAGAGCTCTCTTGTAGGAAAAGAGTGCGTAATTCAACCGATTACTTATCACTATGCAATGGCATGTGACAGTTTGAAATTATTAATGCTACATCAAACATCAGCTTATTGGTAAAACAGGTAAATCAGTTTCAATTCCCTAAACAACTGACAACGATTAAGGTGAGTCATCGAATCATGCCAAACAAAAGCAGATTAACACAGCATTGACTTTGTTTCATTTCTAATGTTACTTGTGGTGTCCACTATCACTCCGGAATTTCCTGGCTTCGAAATGAAGGATGTAACCATAAAGCCAAATAAAACTACTGTTACAGATAAACTAAGTCACGAAATGTGACAAAATACTGACGAATGTGTTCGATAAATCTTCACCGGCTGAATCATCTCTAAAAAAGCAAAACAAAACAAAAACAAGAAAATACCAACATATGACCATAATTACCATCAAAACTCAAATCCAACAAAACAAATAATGAACAAAAGAAAGATTTACACGGAGACGCTGAAAAATACTAAGAGAAAAGGACCAAATATTCCGGAAGAGTAAGCGTCTTCTGCTCCATCGACAACACCAGTCATGTAAGCCTTGGTCAATCCAAATAAGTAATGTCACTTTCTCAATTGAGAACAAGGTATTCAACAGCAGAACCAACAGGCAAAATAACGAGCATCAAACACGTGCAGCTTCAAATCGAACAAAGAAAATTAATATTTCTTAATAAGATCACTATGGCGACCCTAAACCTTCCCCAGAACTTTCATGAACATGTAAACACAATTGTTTGGGGATGCAGGAATGTTACTATTCAGAAATGAAACATTTACAACTGAGAAATTAATTAGCGTAAGCCTCTAATGCAGTATCACCTTTATTGAAAACACTATTGAATGTTTTAATATTAAAATAACATACCTATTTCTCTTCTTATTACTGTCACTAAAGTGTTTAAAGTTGTAATCTCCAAGTAATTTTATAACCTTATTATCAAAGAAAACCTTTTGTAGAAACACCAGTCCGGTTATTCTAAGTCACCTAAGTGCTTTAAGTTACTTGAAATGTATCATATTTGTTAACGTTTTAGAATTACCCTAAATGTTTGTGAGTAGTACTGTTTGTCAGTGCTGTGTTGTTACACTGTAAGTGCCCTCTGGACACCAGGGTTCGGCGACCAATCATATAATACCATCTGCTACTTGAAGAATATTTATAGACAATGGGGAACGTATATCTCAAATATTCTCAGATCAGCCTCTAAACATCTGTCTGATTACGTGGATGGATATTTAGAATGAATAAAAGATATATACTTTATCGCACCTCTTCAACAAGGAAATAACATTATGTAAAGGACGTGTTCACTGTGATATCAGTCACTGGAGAAATTATTAGAAATTATGTTTGTCATATATCATCTCTTGTGTGTTATACATTGAATTACTATCAAAAATATTTTCCTGTAGGGAGATCATGTGATTATGATGATTATGGGGGAAGTCATGTCTGTATGATGTCAACAGTTACTTCCTTAATCTAAGGATAATATTTGTAATGTTTAATACGATGCGATCATTATACCATGTCTAATGTTGAAACACATGGACTTCTATCTCAGCTACCCCGATTGTCAGGTCCGTGTGGGTTGAGATAACTGCTAACATTAAACAAATTCGATTGATTGTTTTTCAACCACACTTTGATATCATGTAATGTTATAAATTAACAATGAACAATAATCAAAACAAAATCGAGCTGGTCATGTCTGATTCTGCCCGTTGCTGCCTGATCCTGTCAGTCGTCTGACCGCTATTTCCGGACTTTCTCCGCGCCTATAATGAAAAACTATAGAAATACCCGGATGTTGTGTTCTAGCGCGAAGAAGCGAATTTGACATGATGGCGGCAGTAAGAAGAAAACGGCCAATTGATGCATTACATGCGGAAGCAAATCAAAGAAGAGAACAGAGAGCAGCAAATAACAATTCAGATTATGTGGAAGGTTCCATTGTTCGCATAAAATTGGAAAATATTTTGTAAGATCGTCACTTTTACTTTGATAACACCCACAACTAAATAGTTATCTGTATTCTAAGTGTTCTGATCTAAGAGATACGGGTACTCTTACCAAAGAAGGGATCTTACAAGGCAAAACAGGACAAGGCTAGCATGAAGCTGGCAACTAGGCCCACCGATTGAGATGCGATTTCAAAACGCTTTACCGTACAATCACGAGAAACATCTTGTTTGTAGGTCGGCACGAATGAGATGGTGTGGCTGAGATTTTGTATAATTTGTTTTACATACGTAACTAAACTTGGTCTGACTGCGCTGACACACAGCACTTTTATTCGGGTAAAAGTCCTATCAACCCTGTAATGGCTATAATATACAAGCATACGGTATGCCTGTTTGCCAAAAAGCTACCTTTCTACTTTCACAATTCAAATCAATCGCATGACTAGCAAAATCAGTAGTCTTGTTGTAACCTCTGATTTTATCAGATATGCCCATTGAATGAAGTATACACGTGTTCATGTATACAGGTGCATGAATATGCAGCTCCATTGACTTGTGGAAATGTCCAATTTGCAGAAATATGAGATTCTCACTACATCGTTTAAGATTTCTTGGAGTGATCTGAATCAGCAGATATTTTTGAATTAGGTATATGATTCGCTATATATCACGTCAAAAAATCAGACTTCATTATCGTTAAATTGTCAGATTTTTATATTCTGACATTCATCTGGCAGTGAAATTAAACTGATTTTTTACTAATAACTTCAAAAACACTTGCATGTGACATGAATTCAGTTCAACTTCATTGCAGTGTCAGGGTTTTCATTCCTGACATTATCCTATCAAACATTGCAGCTCAAATACTAGATTTAGATCGCAATTTTGATCCAAGTTAATGGAAATGGGCATTTTAGATTTAATTGATTAATTTACACAGAGTTTTCAAAAAGTTGAGCCATGATAGACATCACATTCACATAAGTTTATGGGTCATTTTGGCTTTCATTAGTTCAATGTCATCCTCACTAAAACATTGTACTGGCAATTGCTGAAAACACACTCAATTTGCAGCATTGTGTGTATATCACATATACAAGCAAGACAAAATTATTCACAACGAAGTTAATTATCAGGGCATGAAAACTTGTTTATTTACCATTTATATATCTACTTGAATTTTTATCAGATTTCATTTTGAAAATATCCATGACAACATTGTGTATGTATGATGTAAAAAACTATCGTAAAATTACAGATACAAATGAAAGTAGATTATTTTTGTGTAAAACTACTTAAGTTTCATATCTTTTAATTATAAAATAGATTAAAATGAGCTTATTTATTGTCTAATGTCAAATTTTGTTGGGGTTTTTTCAGGACCTACGATTCTGTAGAGTTTCTTACAGGGCCCTTCCTCAATGTCATCATAGGACCTAATGGCACAGGAAAATCAACCATAGTTTGTGCAATATGTCTAGGTCTTGGTGGTAAAATTGGACTTTTAGGGAGGGCTCAACAGGCAGCAGAGTTTATTAAACATGGCAAGCAGAAAGGAAGGATTGAAATTGAATTGTAAGTCATTTGGTTTATAATCATTATTACTACTTTTATGAAAAGAATAAAAGTGAAAATTATCTAGTACATATACCATTGTATTAGATTTGAACCGAACACATTAGTACTCATTTCTGCATAAATAATAAATGAACTGTTAAGCAAGATAAAAATTATTCTCCGAACCTGTGTAGAAAACAAAGTATTGTCAGTGCTATTACAAGTACGTGAAACAAAACTGAATGCTCTAATGATATTACTATATAACTCATTAGAATTGTTGACATTTCAGATTCAATACTGATGGAGATAATTATGTGATTGTCAGAGAGATTCAAAAGAACAATCAATCTCAGTGGAGTGTCAATGGACGCAGTGCCCCCTTGAAAGCTGTGAGATGTTCTCTTTATTTACAAGATGTTTGGTATCAGTCAGTTCCCTGTAGAACCTCAGGCAGCAAAATCATATTTTTTTTTGTTCCCTAACATTAATGAGTGACACATCAAAGCTGACTTAAGGATCTATTACAAGCCATGAGACATCTTCACTATGATCACAGTACAGAATATCCCAGCACATCTGTAGTAGGGAAAGGATGTTATATACAAATTGATGATACCCAAAGTCGAGACTTATCATCTACTAATGGCTGAAAAACATATGGAAATTAGCATTAATGAGAGATAAAATTATTGTTGATGGAACTTGTTTCCGGACGTGACAAGTGTAGCTGAATAACCTCCTTCAAAAATATGAATCAAATCTTTTCAATATTACTTCTCAAGAATGATGAGCCCAGATCTAATTTTCATGGCAGGTAGTTTTAATAAGATTATGTTTCATTTTTTTTCTTTCGAAAGTGAAATTCACTTATCATTAATAAGGTAGATAACCCTAATCAGTTGACACTACATAGTGCAAACTAAATAGGACAGACTGAAATACAGCTGTCAAAAGTGGACCTTGACAACTTTGTGAACAAGAAATGATTTTCTAAGCGAGGATATTGTCTGTAAAATATTTTATAAAGAAATTGTCAGTAAGTTAAGCTACACTTTTCAGTTATTATGACTTGCTTCATCACTCCAGTTGTCCTCAACGGAAGCAAGGGACCTTATATTTATTGTGGGAGAAAAAAAAACAGAGGCCATTCTCAGAATACCTTTGCCAAAGAAATGTAAACTGATTTTGACTAATGAATTGTGTAGATAGTAATGAGCTACTTTTGTTTTACAGGTGGAAGAGCTTGTATTGAGTAAGAATATTCAGGTTGGGAATTTATGTCAATTCTTACCTCAGGAAAAGGTTGCAGACTTTGCGAAAATGACTCCAGAGGAGTTACTGGAAAATACAGAGAAGGCTGTGAGTTAAAAGCAGATAAAATCTAATGTGAATTATTTGTCTATATGTTCAGATGTGTATAAGGGGATATATATAAAGTTAAGAAATGCTGAAACAATTAACAGTCATAACTGTGAGACCATTTCCTTAAAAGTAACTTTATATACTTACATTGAATCCAAGGTATGAAAATAATAACTTGTTTCACATATTGAATGATCAAACTATCTCTTGATTCATGTCTTTAAATTGATTTAAGACATCTTGAGCACAATTTTTTTTTCTTTTTGTTTCTCATTTATACCAGGAAATAAAGTGAAATTCAGTTTAAATGACATATAAGATTTTTCGAATGCAACATTAATTCTCAATGGTTACAAACACTGAACTTTAAATTAGGGCATGGTTTGAATTTTATTGTTGTTTAAAGGTTGGGCCTCCAGACATGTATGAAAACCATATGAAACTGAAAGAGGCCAGGAATCAAAGTCGAAACCTACAACAAGGATTTGATAATCTTGAAGAAAGATTAGAGCAAGACATTAATAAAAACAGCAGATTGGAACAAGATGTGAAAAACTTCCAGGAACGGGAAAGACACTTAGAAAAAGTAGAAATCCTTCGAAAGAAGCGACCATGGATAGTAAGAAGTTATTTTGTAGATCATTTATATAACTACAGAGAAACTATTTATTGTCAAGTACATTATGATGTCTATATAAGGGATGTACAATTTCTCTTATCCAGAGACTGGATTTTTTGTACGAAAGATATAGTGCAAATTTTGTTGTATTTTATATAAATATATATATATAACCTAGGTAGAATAATTTGCTGTTTTACTGAAAATAAGAAATTTGATCTCATACTTTTACATCTGTATGATAATGATAAAATATCTTTGCAAATTCATGCAGATTTATGATAGATTAAAGAACATTGAGGAAGACTTGCGTTCAGTGGAAACAGATTTAGGCAGGGAGATAGGCTTAGCCAATAATAAACTAGGTTTAAACAAATGGCCTTGATGTTACACATAGCAGGGATTATTTTGCCTGTTTTGCAGATGAAAATAGGTTGTTTCTCCAAGCCAAAAAATGTTTACTTTTCCAAAATGAAGCAAAAATATGGAAATCTTTCCTTACTTGGAATAAGATTCACTGTTTAAAAGTATGTTTAGACACAGGCTGCTGTAAAAACGAAGGTAAGAAAAGCAGCAGATAAGAAATGACTTTCATGACAGATTGCTTTTAATGACGAATATTTGCATGTTAAAAAGTTTGCGGTAAGTTGAGCAGTGGAGTCTAATATTAAAATACCTGAATCAAAATATTGTGTATTCAATATAGCTTGGGTTTGTTTCAAGTAGTCACTATAATTTTAACCTGGGATTGGTTTTCTTCAATATCGTTGTATAGAACGTAATCCTTTTAAAGATTTTGTATCACAATACTTAAGATACAGTGCTCACTTTAAAAATAACTTTCCTTGTAGGAATATGATGACAAACGAAAATTATATGATGTGGTGAAAAGAGAGCGAGACACCAAAGTGGATTCACATAAACAAGCTAGGGTCCAATTTGAGCCATTACAGAGAAGACTTGATGAGATTGCATTAAAGAAGGAACGAGCCGATGGACAAATGAAACAAAAGGTTAGAACACCACGGAGTGCTTTATTTGTGAAGGGTGTAATGATGCACCATGACATATACGTCATGCTTGAAATTTTATCCTGTGACATTTACCATAATATTCCCATCAGCTGTAACTTGTCAATCCCTCATGTTTTTGTTTGTGGTCACTTGTCTGGAAGTCAGTTAATTTTTTCACAAGGTTTTCAGGTCTCGACGTTAACTTTTTTTAGTACTTGCCCAGCTGGAATATTGAGGGTGGTCAGTGATTTAGAGATAATCTGAAACAGCATTCATACAGATTTCACTGACTGTCACTCTTCATGAACAACCAGGACTTATATTCAGTCGTGTTAAACATGTAGATTTATTGGAGCTGATGACAAAAAGCATTCTCATGTCTTCGACGTTGAAACTGCTAGATTGTCAACAAAAATCAATGTGGAAAGTTCTGTTGTGATGAGCTTGTACAGATTACATATGTCATGGTCTTAGTCCATTAGAAATTCTGACGCCTAGAGCTTGACAAGATATGTATTCACTTGAAGGTGTAAACAACCTGTGTTTGATAAAATGCTTTCTAAGTGCTGAAAGATTTATACATGCTACAAATCTGTTGTCATGATTTAATAATGATAATAATTGAATCTATAGCATTAAATGTTAATTATATTTCAGACCAACAGTTTGAGAGATTTTGCAACAAAAGCCCAAGCCAATAGCAAAGAGATAGAAGCTGCCACTGATAAGGTGAGAATTGGAAATTTAGATCTTATTTGTTCTGTATAAAACATCTGTTTTGAATTGATCATGTAGTTAGATCATTTGGAGAAAGGTTGTAATTACCTTGTACTGCTAATAAAAGTATAAATGATTTAAGGACAGTTTTGAAAAGTAACACTATACTAATTGTTTTGAATGTGCTCCATAGACCATTCCGAATGTATGTCAGTTCCCAACAAACAATTACATTTTTATGGTTTTAATGAAAAATTCTTAAAATTTGCAAAAACAAATACAAATTACCTGCGGATCACGAAAACAAGACAGGTAATTTAAAAACAGAATGTCCATCCCCAATCTAACAATCTCCAAGCTGACTAAATTAAAAGTAACAATTATCAAAAAGTAACATTGGATCATCAATTGTTGAATAAGACTTTGAGGATCAGCTGGAAAATGCTTTGTTTTCTGCCATTTTGGGAGGTGAAAACATGCTACAGCAGAAGTCATTAGTGATTCTACATGTTTAGTAAACCCTTGATGTTAAGTCAAGGACACTCATTGTTCTGACAAATTCTAGAAAAACATTCTGGTTTTTATACAATTAAAAATCTGTGTCATGTTAATGTTAAGGTAACTATCATTTTACTTTCTGTTGTTTTAGAATAATGAAATCCAGGATGAATTGAACCTTAAAAAGACAGAGGAAAATGCAAGACGAAAAAGGTATTGATGTAGATAGTACTGAATACTGATAGAAATCCTTAATTTTGGATAAAGGTTGGAGTGTGGGCCTAGGGGACTATGAATACTGATAGAAATCATTAATTTTGGATCAAAGTTGGAGGGTGGACCCAGGGGAGTATGAATACTGATAGAAATCCTTAATTTTGGATCAAAGTTGGAGGGTGGACCCAGGGGACTATGAATACTGATAGAAATCATTAATTTTGGATCAAGGTTGGAGGGTGGACCCAGGGGAGTATGAATACTGATAGAAATCATTAATTTTGGATCAAGGTTGGAGGGTGGGCCTAGGGGAGTATGAATACTGATAGAAATAATTAATTTTGGATCAAGGTTGGAGGGTGGACCTAGGGGAGTATGAATACTGATATAAATCATTAATTTTGGATCAAAGTTGGAGGGTGGACCCAGGGGAGTGTAAATACTGATAGAAATCATTATTTTTGGATCAAGATTGGAGGGTGGACCCAGGGGACTATGAATACTGATAGAAATCATTAATTTTGGATCAAGGTTGGAGGATGGACCCAAGGGAGTATGAATACTGATAGAAATCATTAATTTTGGATCAAGGTTAGAGGATGGACCCAGGGGAGTGTAAAAAATAAAAAATATCGGACACATAATCAAATGGCCAATAGTGTGGGATAGGGTTTATGTATTCTGAAAATGTACTGGAGCCAGTACACACCTGTCACATGATATTCTTGTGTATAGGTAATGATTGTTGTCAAGGCCACATCACTCGCAATTGTCTAAGGTAGGAAGGAGTGAGTAATTAATGCAGGGTCCAGTTGTATTTCGATAACTGTTAAATTGAAAATTACCTTTATAACCACAAATCAACATTAATACATTTGTGGTTACCCTTCAGTCATAAATACACAAATTTTTTGTTTAATGAACAATCCATTGTATCTATTACCCATTTCTACCAAACCACATAAAACATGCAATCCTCTCCCAGTTGTGTATGAGATGCTGTATTGTGTGTACACATGGTGCACAGAAAATGTATATACAATGTGCTTAAAATGTGCACACAAATATTTCAGTGTGCTGTGCAATCCCACATCTGAGTGTTACACCACACAAATTTAAGAGCACATCAAGCAGGTTGTATTTGAGTTTCAATGAAATTTCTGTACAAAATTAGTCAAAATTCTGCAGTTAAATCCCTCATACTGTTGGAGAATGTTGCTTCAAATATGTTGCTATAATGAATATGATATTAAGGGTTGTAGTTTTGATTACTGGATGTCAGTGCCGACCCCTACATTGGTGAAGGTAGTTATGACAGAAGGGTGTTGGCATGATATGAATAGAATAGTTTTATAATTATGACTCTCACAGATTTTCAAGCTGTTACTGTAAATATCGTCTCTTAATTTTAGCACATTGCCAGTACATGTGACTTGCATGAAGCACAATGAATATGACAACTGGTTAGTATAAAGAACTGATAACTCTGAAAAACTGGTTCTGGAGTTGCCCCATCACCATTTGGCAGCCTTCATTTTAGGTGTTGTGAGCATGTCAGGCCTTGAAAAACTTAACTTGCTTCTTCTTCAGAATACAAGATCTACAACGACAAGTTGATGCACTGCAGTCAGAATATCAAAACACAGATGAGCAGGAAAATCTACAGGTATCTTGCTTCTTAGCTGTAATGTGCTTGTATGTGTATGTAAAAGCATCATCATTGGATGTAAATACTTTGAGAGACTAGAAAAGTTATCACTGACGAGTTTAAAATAATGGTATATATCTGACACATAAACAAATAGCCATATACAAGGTATAATTTGCCATAATCAGAAATAGTTATCCCCTCAATGACAGTCTAGTTCCAATAAATACCAGATAGGAGAAACCAATAATTTTCTTTCATTATAAAGGAAAAAATATGTAATTGTCAATGTATATTTTGAAAATTACCAACATTTTTCTGTGAAGTTATAAAAGGGTCATTTTAATCCTATTAGGGGGTGGGGGATGTAATATTTTGTGGACCCTTACAGTGTAGAAGTGACTAACCTGATATGTTACTGTACAGCCATTACTAGAAAGGACTACCAATGAAATGAGAGCTGTAAACAGAAGCATGACACAAATAAATGAGGATGGTGATGGAATTCGACGTGGAATCACAGACCTGAAAAGACAAATTGATGGTAAGGGTGGATGGCTATTACTTGTGATTTGGATTTTAGTCAATCAAGCAACCTCAAGCAGTTTTGTAGTCTCTGAACTCCTATATGATGTTAACTTGGGTTGATGACAGTGGAGTGTTTGAAGTTAGATGTAAATGTCTCATCTATTGTATTAGTAGTTTTAGGCAATCATTCCTTTGATATGATACTCACTTTAACAATACCAATTAATGAAGTTAGAGTTGACTGGACAGCAAATGTAATTATTGTTACTCTCATTCAGTCATCACTAGAAAGTAAACCCAATCTCAATGAAATTGCAGTGATAGGAAATTCTGACAAAGGTACAAATGTAGAATACACCTTATTTCAGTTAGAAAAACGGGTTTTTGGTTCATTTTAATGTCATAGATTATCAAAGCAGAGGAAGGAAAGACATCATTCTTCAGGGCTTTTTTTATCATGGATCATGTTTTGTTCTGGTAGGATGCCAACAGGAGCTAAAAAAGATGCAGAATATAGAGAATAAGAGAATGGAGATCTTACGGGGCAAAGACAAAGACACATACAATGCTGTTGTCTGGTATAAACAGAACAAAGACCAGTTCAGGGGCAACGTACATCTCCCCATGATGTTGTCCGTAAGTTACTGCACCATATACCTCACCATGAAGTGTCTGTAAGTTACTGCACCATATACCTCACCATGAAGTGTCTGTAAGTTACAGCACCATATACCTCACCATGAAGTGTCTGTAAGTTACTGCACCCATATACCTCACCATGAAGTGTCTGTAAGTTACTGCACCATATACCTCACCATGAAGTGTCTGTAAGTTACTGCACCATATACCTTACCATGAAGTGTCTGTAAGTTACTGCACCATATACCTCAACATGATGTGTCTGTAAGATTCTGTGAGATTTCCAACCTTTTATATGTGCACAGACCTAAGCTTTTTGTCTGCCATTTGTTTTACCATTTGAGTTGCCTCCTCTTGTCTGTTGTGACAATATTTTGATTCCAAGACTTGACAGAAAAGTATTACCCTGGTAAATGTATTTTTGTTCTTCTATAGGAAAATATCAGTGATGTTTAGATGGAAAATATCAGTGAATTTTTTTATGGAAAAATATTGGTGACACAAAATACTTTTAAAAAAGTGCATGATCACTGACAAAGGATGGTCATTGAAAATTTTCTTGAAATGTTTATTCAAAGTAACACTGACTAGTCTGGAGCTAACTATGTATGATCAAATGGTGGATAAGCTTTATGCACGATCATAACAAGCAATGTGGAAGGTATATATTACTTAAAGAAATAAACCTGGATGTGAATAAAGGACTTTAAATACCTGGTCATGTAATTTTGTCTTGATGAAAGTTAAGTTAGAGTGGCGACAGTTAATGATTACATGTTCAGACTTTGTCATGGACATCATTCCTCCTCCCCCCATCCTTTTTTTTCGTAGGCATTGTTTTGGTTTTTTGTTGTTTTTTATTCTCTGCATCCCTTCATCCATTTGTTCTCATTTGACTTGTCTGCAGAATCCTGAATGTCACATTTAGAACAAAATCCTGCTTTACAGTTTCTGTAGCTGAGTTTAAATTATTGTCAATTATTCAAGATCACTATTTCACAGGCTTGTCAGTTGGTTCCTGATAAGAGGTTTCAGTTAGTACTTCATGGAATTTCACACTCTTAGATTAAATCAGGATTGTTTATACAAATGGAAGATCAGCCTCATTAATTTTAGTTGTAGATATACTCTGTATGCTACTTTGTGAACGGGGAAAATAGCTTTGAATTTGGAGGGGGGGAAATGCTAGAAAATAAAAAATTGTTAAATACTTTAATTCTCTCAAATGAAGCTGATTCACTTTGTTGAAGCAAATATATAACCAACTGAACTGAGAGCTAACTTTTAAGTACATGTTGTGGTATCATTCAGTTTTTTGGGGAAAAAATTCTAAACCTACAATTAATTTTGGGATTTATTGCTTGGAATGATTTTTAGGTCATCTGACCGAAGGTGACCGTTAAGGCCCATGGGCCTCTTATTTTTTGTTTTTTGGGTTTTTTTTTTTGCTTCTTAAATCAAAGGGAGTGAGGGAGCTTTGCTATGGGCTATGGGGTCCATATTCAACCCAAAATCATGCAGGGAAAAAGCCCTGGTATGTACAGTATAATAGACATTAGATTTCTGTTTCAATTTATAATAGCATACTCTCCCTCTTGACAGATTAACCCAAAGGATGCTTCATATGCCAAGTACATTGAGATGCATATAAGTGCCAAAGATTTCCAGGCCTTTGTATTTGAGGACAGCCAGGACTACACCAACTTCATGAACATTATACGTGATGAACAGAGACTTAAAGTCAATGCTGTTAAGGTTCCTCAAGCTCCACTTGATTCCTTTAAACCTAAATACAGCATAGATCATTACAGGTACGACATACAGATCCAATTCAATTGTTTGGTATTAAAACCAGATGGATCATCAAATTTTTAATGTAGAACAGAGTTTAAGAAACTGGACAGGAAAGATGCTGGTTGTTTTCATTTAGTCTGCAGATACAGACTTTCTAAGGTGTACTTGATACTTTTATACAATTTACACAGTGCAGTCAGTCATCAAGTCAAAAGACTTACACATGATCTAAATACCAGACTCCAATGGCACTTTGTGCTAAGTTACAGGAACAAGCTTACCTTAGTATTAAAATGGAAAGTGAAACTTTTTGGATATTCACTAAGATCAGAATTGGAACGGGTACTTCACAAAAATGTTCTTGTGGGCTGTTTTTGTGCACAGTAAATACAACATTGGGAAAACTTTTTAATATCCTGGCAAAAATTTTAACAATATAGAAATCAGAATGTTTTCTGGTGGATTTGAAGCCATTATCAATACTCCAGGGGTGGAGAGATTGAGAGTGAATGTAACCCCTGGAGTATCCAGGATGGTTCCAGGGGTGGAGAGATTGAGAGTGAATGTAACCCCTGGAGTATCCAGGATGGTTCCAGGGGTGGAGAGAGTGAATGTAACCCCTGGAGTATCCAGGATGGTTCCAGGGGTGGAGAGAGTGAATGTAACCCCTGGAGTATCCAGGATGGTTACAGGGATGCAGAGAGTGAATGTAACCTCTGGAGTATCCAGGATGGTTCCAGGGGTGGAGAGATTGAGAGTGAATGTAACCCCTGGAGTATCCAGGATGGTTCCAGGGGTGGAGAGATTGAGAGTGAATGTAACCCCTGGAGTATCAAGGATGGTTCCAGGGGTGGAGAGATTGAGAGTGAATGTAACCCCTGGAGTATCCAGGATGGTTCCAGGGATGCAGAGAGTGAAAGTGAATGTAACCCCTGGAGTATCCAGGATGGTTCCAGGGATGCAGAGAGTGAAAGTGAATGTAACCCCTGGAGTATCCAGGATGGTTACAGGGATGCAGAGAGTGAATGTAACCTCTGGAGTATCCAGGATGGTTCCAGGGGTGGAGAGATTGAGAGTGAATGTAACCCCTGGAGTATCCAGGATGGTTCCAGGGGTGGAGAGAGTGAATGTAACCCCTGGAGTATCCAGGATGGTTCCAGGGGTGGAGAGAGTGAATGTAACCCCTGGAGTATCCAGGATGGTTCCAGGGGTGGAGAGAGTGAATGTAACCCCTGGAGTATCAAGGATGGTTACAGGGATGCAGAGAGTGAATGTAACCCCTGGAGTATCCAGGATGGTTCCAGGGGTGGAGAGATTGAGAGTGAATGTAACCCCTGGAGTATCAAGGATGGTTCCAGGGGTGGAGAGAGTGAAAGTGAATGTAACCCCTGGAGTATCCAGGATGGTTCCAGGGGTGGAGAGATTGAGAGTGAATGTAACCCCTGGAGTATCCAGGATTGTGCCAGGGATGCAGAGGGTGAAAGTGAATGTAACCCCTGGAGTATCCAGGATGGTTCCAGGGATGCAGAGAGGGATGTGTATCCAGAGATACAGAGAGTGAATGTAACCCCTGGAGTATCCAGGATGGTTCAGAGGGATGCAGGGAGAGTGAATGTAACCCCTGGAGTATCCAGGATAACCCCTGGAGTATCCAGGTGGTTCCAGGGATGCAGAGGGATGCAGAGAGTGAATGTAACCCCTGGAGTATCCAGGATGGTTCCAGGGATGCAGAGATTGAGAGTGAATGTAACCCCTGGAGTATCCAGGATGGTTCCAGGGATGCAGAGAGTTAAAATGAATGTAACCCCTGGAGTATCCAGGATGGTTCTAGGGATGCAGAGAGTGAATGTAACCCCTGGAGTATCCAGGATGGTTCTAGGGATGCAGAGAGTGAATGTAACCCCTGGAGTATCCAGGATGGTTCCAGGGATGCAGAGAGTGAATGTAACCCCTGGAGTATCCAGGATGGTTCCAGGGATGCAGAGAGTGAAAGTGAATGTAACCCCTGGAGTATCCAGGATGGTTCCAGGGATGCAGAGAGTTAAAATGAATGTAACCCCTGGAGTATCCAGGATGGTTCTAGGGATGCAGAGAGTGAATGTAACCCCTGGAGTATCCAGGATGGTTCCAGGGATGCAGAGAGTGAATGTAACCCCTGGAGTATCCAGGATGGTTACAGGGATGCAGAGAGTGAATGTAACCCCTGGAGTATCCAGGATGGTTCCAGGGATGCGGAGATTGCGAGTGAATGTAACCCCTGGAGTATCCAGGATGGTTCCAGGGATGCAGAGAGTTAAAATGAATGTAACCCCTGGAGTATCCAGGATGGTTCCAGGGGTGGAGAGATTGAGAGTGAATGTAACCCCTGGAGTATCCAGGATGGTTCCAGGGATGCAAAGAGTGAAAGTGAATGTAACCCCTAGAGTATTTAGGATGACTTGTAGCAGGAATGGAATCACACATAATAATCAAGTGTTTATTTTTGTGTAGGCAGTATGGGTTCCAGGGTTACTTAAAGGACTACATGCACTGTCCTGATGGGGTAATGAGATACCTTTGTGCCCAATACAATGTACATTCCATACCTGTTGGAAACCGCAGAACCAAAGACTGTATACCAGACATCAAGAGAGACCACCCAGAGCTACGTACTTTCTTCACTGATGATTATCAGGTATGAGTTTTAAGTTTTGGTCTGACGATCAATAACTTCGATGGTTACTGGATTTGTACACAAGATTTCCAATCCATTTATCAAGTGGATAACAAGTAGAGTTTACTGTTGAAGTAAAAAAAGCTATTATGATGGTATTTTAAATTTTTATTACAATAGTCCTTTGACTATTGTAGTACTATCACAATAGATTCTTTTTCAACTTTAAAAGATGTTTTTTATAACTCAGAAATAAAACGAGATCACCATCCAGTTAAATATATCAGAACGTTCAGTATAAAAGTGTTGTAGCTGAAAAAGTTTACATTTTTATACAATCAAGAATATTGCACTGTGATATTTGCTGCACTTTGTTATACTTGTATATTATTTATCTTATACACAACCATGCTACTCTTTGATGGTGGTGAAACTCGTACAAGGCTGGACTTAAGACTGTACAGTATTATTTTAGAAGGACATTGGATGAGCCACGGACAAGTCAGGATATGTTGTATTGCTCTAAAGAAACTACGATAGAAAGTGAATTTTGAAAACTTAAGATCAGTGCTTTGTTTACAAATACAAAAATGTTTTGCTTTTGTTTTCCATATTTTTAATTTTGTGATTTCCAGTACACCTTTAGAGTGTCCAAATATGATGGTACTATTTCTTCAAGAAGTTCCAAAATTAGGTATGTATCATTTGTAATTAGTAACCTAAGATAATTAATCCAATAATGAAAAACTGCAGTATTCCTTCGTGGGAAAGTTCTTTTAATTCAAGGTGGCTACTAATACTGGAACCGTTCAAATACTGATATAATCTAGACATGTTAACGTTAGGACTGTCTAGCTTTCCTTCCACACAACTCAGGACTCTTCCACTAAAACATGTACTTGACCCAAAAACTATAAAATATGTCACATCTATCAATTATATGGTTTCTTATCTATTTCTTCTGTGTAACAGGTAGTACCAATAAAAATAACCTGGAGACTTAGGATGGGATAGATAAAAATAACCTGGAGACTTGGGATGGGATAGATAAACATAACCTGGAGGCTTGGGATGGGATAGATAAACATAACCTGGAGGCTTGGGATGGGATAGATAAACATAACCTGGAGGCTTGGGATGGGATAGATAAATATAACCTGGAGACTTGGGATGGGATAGATAAATATAACCTGGAGACTTGGGATGGGATAGATAAACATAACCTGGAGACTTGGGATGGGATAGATAAACATAACCTGGAGACTTGGGATGGGATAGATAAACATAACCTGGAGACTTGGGATGGGATAGATAAACATAACCTGGAGACCTGGGATGGGATAGATAAATATAACCTGGAGACTTGGGATGGATAGATAAATATAACCTGGAGACTTGGGATGGGATAGATAAACATAACCTGGAGACTTGGGATGGGATAGATAAACATAACCTGGAGACTTGGGATGGGATAGATAAACATAACCTGGAGACTTGGGATGGGATAGATAAACATAACCTGGAGACTTGGGATGGGATAGATAAACATAACCTGGAGGCTTGGGATGGGATAGATAAACATAACCTGGAGGCTTGGGATGGGATAGATAAACATAACCTGGAGGCTTGGGATGGGATAGATAAACATAACCTGGAGGCTTGGGATGGGATACATATTTTATTGGAATAGCCTTCACAGGTTTCGTTTGAAAGCACCATACTTTGAATTGCTATACAAACTATATTGTAGTAACCAAAATCTGGTACAAGTGATGTGTGTTCAAGTCCATGGCACCAGTATGCTTGTTAATCCATTACATTTTTTAAATAAACATTATTTATTTTACAAAAATATTTATTTTACAAAAATTTCAAAACAAGCTTTAAGCTTACTCTTGTTGGCCCAGATTGAAGCATGCAAAGAGTCTTGGGGGGAGGGGAGAATCCATGTGGTCGGACAAGTCACCCCCATACTTTTTCCAGCTTTATATTTCTCTGTAAATATAGGTATAACCTGTTTTCAGATACCCGTCCTGGCTGACAGCATCAGCTGATACTACAAGAGAGAAAGAACTAGAATCACAGATACGGGTAAGATCTCTTCAACCCTGTCATCAGTGAGTGCCATGTTGGCATACATATGGCGATTGTATAATTCAAGTAACTTCATTTGAAGAAACAATTTACAATTCATTGAGAAAAAATTAACGGCAATATTTGTCATGATTCTGTTAGGAACACCAAGATGAATTGAAGAAACAAGAAGAAAAATACAGAGATCTTCAACGACAGTCTAAAGATTTTGAAGTGAGAATGAACCGATTGAGAGAAGAAAAGGTATGTAACACTTACACATTACAAATGTAAAAATATTAATATTTTGAAGGCACTCTTTCAAATTTTTTACATAGTCTATTATCAGAGCTATTTAATTCCTTCACTGCTCAATTTCATATATAATCTTTAATCTGACAGTTCAAGTAAGAATGTTAAATTAAAAGCATTTGGAGACGGTCACTAGCTTTTTAGCATGCATTGTCAGCTTGAGGTTAAGATGGTTTTATTCCATTATTGAAAGAAATTGCAACCGAAGAAGTTCATAGTTTTGCTTGAATATCTAAAGTGAAGTGATTTCTATTTGAATCCAGAAACAACTTACACAGAAAAAGGACCAGAAAAAGAAACTTCTCTCACAAATTGAAAATAAAAGACAGAGGTAAGAATTATATGATACTGCAAACTATAAACAATCATACCTTATGTATATTATGTATCAGAACATTTTTTCAGATGTGGAGAGCTAATAAAAAAAAAAAGAAACCTTGAAACATTTCTGTATACAGCAGGGTTTTTTTTGTCAGAAAATTATTTTATTACACTTGAAATTCACCACCTGCTTGAGAGGTGTCTATTTTACTCAGAGTTGTTCCTCTCTAACAAGGCATCACCCAAACTACACAATGTGTGTGTAATTCCTACTTTATCTAAATGTTTCCTGTTTTATGTTTTTTGAGGTTGATAATAAATCTTCATTGAGATCACATAATAAGGTGACCAGTATGTGCTGATGGACATTTTGTTATTGTAGAATCAGAACAGAAGAAGGGGAGGCAGTCAATTTACATGCAGAGAAGGAACGGACCTTAAGAAAGACTAGGGAAATCAATATCAAGAAATGTAAATCTCTACAACTGATGAAGGAAAATACACAGGCAAGTTGTTGTTGTTTTGTCTCCTGGTGAAGAAAGGATTGATCATTGTAAAGGTTTTAACTGAACAATATGTAGACATGTTTACACAGTTATCTTCATTTCCAGGTAAAACTGCTGTGTTGTTTAAATAGATATCCCGTACATGTTAGGATTTCATAAGCTGCTTTTGAAGAAAATTATTTAAAACTATCTTCAGTAAAGCACAGATAAGTTGAAGTCGACGGGACCAAATGAAATATTCAACTTATCGGATCGTTCAGCTTTGCGATGTTTCTATAAGTGAATAAGTTTGTTTTTTCTTTTGCTATTTCTTGATATTATTTAGGATCTTTCTCAGAATTTTTACGCAGTTTATCCTTGGTCCCTTGTTGTGCCCTTTTGGGACTGCTCAGAAAAACAGGCAACAATTAAGGATTTGACAGTTAAAGGTTTATCATTGTTAAAGGAATTTCAAATGATTTAAAGCAAAAACAGAACAAAAGTAAAAAAAAAAAAAAAAGGTCTAATGTTTAAAGGACAAATAGAGATTGTACACTGATGGAAGCTACGAATCCTCTAACAGGTAAGGGGTATGAAATATAGTAATAGAGATTGTACACTGATGGAAGCTACGAATCCTAACAGGTAAGGGTATGAAATATAGCAATAGAGATTGTACACTGATGGAAGCTACGAATCCTCTAACAGGTAAGGGGTTTGAAATATAGCAATAGAGATTGTACACTGATGGAAGCTACGAATCCTCTAACAGGTAACGGGTTTGAAATATAGCAATAGAGATTGTACACTGATGGAAGCTACGAATCCTCTAACAGGTAAGGGGTTTGAAATATAGCAATAGAGATTGTACACTGATGGAAGCTACGAATCCTCTAACAGGTAAGGGGTATGAAATATAGCAATAGAGATTGTACACTGATGGAAGCTACGAATCCTTTAACAGGTAAGGGGATGAAATATAGCAATAGAGATTGTACACTGATGGAAGCTACGAATCCTCTAACAGGTAAGGGGTTTGAAATATAGCAATAGAGATTGTACACTGATGGAAGCTACGAATCCTCTAACAGGTAAGGGGTTTGAAATATAGCAATAGAGATTGTACACTGATGGAAGCTACGAATCCTCTAACAGGTAAGGGGTTTGAAATATAGCAATAGAGATTGTACACTGATGGAAGCTACGAATCCTCTAACAGGTAAGGGGTTTGAAATATAGCAATAGAGATTGTACACTGATGGAAGCTACGAATCCTCTAACAGGTAAGGGGTTTGAAATATAGCAATAGAGTTTGTACACTGATGGAAGCTACGAATCCTCTAACAGGTAAGGGGTTTGAAATATAGCAATAGAGATTGTACACTGATGGAAGCTAGGAATCCTCTAACAGGTAAGGGGTTTGAAATATAGCAATAGAGATTGTACACTGATGGAAGCTACGAATCCTCTAACAGGTAAGGGGTTTGAAATATAGCAATAGAGATTGTACACTGATGGAAGCTACGAATCCTCTAACAGGTAAGGGGTATGAAATATAGCAATAGAGATTGTACACTGATGGAAGCTACGAATCCTTTAACAGGTAAGGGGATGAAATATAGCAATAGAGATTGTACACTGATGGAAGCTACGAATCCTCTAACAGGTAAGGGGTTTGAAATATAGCAATAGAGATTGTACACTGATGGAAGCTACGGATCCTCTAACAGGTAAGGGGTTTGAAATATAGCAATAGAGATTGTACACTGATGGAAGCTACGAATCCTCTAACAGGTAAGGGGTTTGAAATATAGCAATAGAGATTGTACACTGATGGAAGCTATGAATCCTCTAACAGGTAAGGGGTATGAAATATAGCAATAGAGATTGTACACTGATGGAAGCTACGAATCCTCTAACAGGTAAGGGGTATGAAATATAGCAATAGAGATTGTACACTGATGGAAGCTACGAATCCTCTAACAGGTAAGGGGTATGAAATATAGCAATAGAGATTGTACACTGATGGAAGCTACGAATCCTCTAACAGGTAAGGGGTTTGAAATATAGCAATAGAGATTGTACACTGATGGAAGCTACGAATCCTCTAACAGGTAAGGGGTTTGAAATATAGCAATAGAGATTGTACACTGATGGAAGCTACGGATCCTCTAACAGGTAAGGGGTTTGAAATATAGCAATAGAGATTGTACACTGATGGAAGCTACGGATCCTCTAACAGGTAAGGGGTTTGAAATATAGCAATAGAGTTTGTACACTGATGGAAGCTACGAATCCTCTAACAGGTAAGGGGTTTGAAATATAGCAATAGAGTTTGTACACTGATGGAAGCTACGAATCCTCTAACAGGTAAGGGGTTTGAAATATAGCAATAGAGATTGTACACTGATGGAAGCTACGGATCCTCTAACAGGTAAGGGGTTTGAAATATAGCAATAGAGTTTGTACACTGATGGAAGCTACGAATCCTCTAACAGGTAAGGGGTTTGAAATATAGCAATAGAGATTGTACACTGATGGAAGCTACGGATCCTCTAACAGGTAAGGGGTTTGAAATATAGCTCTTTCTTGTTCACCATTATTAGGAGGCTTCAGCTAATTTTGAATCTTCATGAGGTTTTGAATGGCAACCTTTTTCTACAGAAATGTCTAGAATTGATCATGGGGAAAGTGCGACTAAGTCTGCAGCATGCTTCAATTGTCAAAGACCAGGAGATAGTGGAGGAGGAACTGCGGGATCAATCACAACATTTAGTGAATCTTGAGGTCAGTGGATTGATATGCAGTTAATCTCTGGTTCAGTATGAGATAAGTAAATGTCTTACTAATTAATAGATTATCATATTGGTTTTGGATATAGAAATTGGGTTTATACATTAAATAATGTTCTTTGTGATGGTGCTTAATATGCAATTCCTTGGACAACGATCCTAATTCTAAGATGTTCTATATACTGTAGTTTATTTTATACACCCCCTGCTGATCAAATATGTAGAGGAGTGGCATTTGTAAAGTCGTTTTGCTAAATGCTCAAGTCTAAATTCAGTAGACAGTATATGATGAACCTGTGGGTATGTATTAAGTGAATATGTAGTTCCAGATGAAAAATATCCAATTTAATTTTGTGCCCATTCTAGTTTTATCTTATTGGAATATCTTTAGTTTCATGCTGGAATGAAAGAAAAACCGATTGGCAAACTTATTATTGAGTGTTCTATGCAAATTTTCACAGTAAATTGATGTGCTAGCTAGTATATATTCAGGACTGAAATAGAATGACAATGTCAATATCACAATTATCATTACACTTTCTTATTTTGTTATTTATGTGCAGAGATCAGTAGAGGAGGCTAAGATATTAGTACGACAGGTAAAAGACTCGGCCAAACACTTATTGGAGATAGCTAAACGTGCTACTGGAACAGCTGCCAACGCTGAACTGTCTAATGAACTGCGTGAGGTAAAATGATTCTCCTGGATTGTTAGCTTTGTAAACATGATACTTATCATACGTTACATTGATTTCAGCTATTCATATGTGTAATCTTATTGTGAAGCATGTAGAAAATAAAATTCCTCATCAGAAATATTGTGATACTTGAAGGAAACAAAATTTCACACCAGAAACATAGTGAAACATGTAGGAAACAAAATTTTTCATCAGAAATATTTCATGTGAAAAACTATACATTTGGAGATTATTTTGAAAATGTAAAAAAAACGTATCAAATGCACTATACTTTATTTATTGACTTATGTTTGTGTATGTTTTTTTCTCCATATTTGTATGTTTTATCATTAATGTCCACTAGTAAACACATGGTAGGTGGCAGATTTAAGTGATTATGATATGAAATCATTTTATTTCATAATTTTCATGCAATTTCTATGTGATTCAAGTATTGTATGGTATACCTGATTTGAAATTCCCAACACACTTTTAAACTCTGGACCTTCAGAGGTTTGAGCAGTACCCTGCCACACTCGAGGAGATTGACTCTATGATTCATGAGGAACAAGCAAGAGCAGACTCACTTTTCCAAGCAGATAAAAGTGTAGGTGTTAAAAATTTCATTTTAAGGATGTACTCTGTTTGAACGGAACTAAAACATAATTCAATGTAAAATTAATTCCAACATCATATCTTGGACTTCTGTTTTCTTAACACTTTACTGTCTATAGTTGTACTAACTTAAACGAGAGAATGTTTTGAAGAAATTCTGCTTTTTGGCTACTTTTTTTGATAGCGGAAATGATGGCATGATTCACTTGATAACATCAACAATTTCAGCGTTTTCTGGTTGTTAAGGTACTTTTTTTCAATGTGATGCTGAATGTTTTGGGAAGATTTCATTTTAGACAAATTATCAGCACAGATCACATATATGAAATTCGTGAATCCCAGATTTTTAGTATCCAAGTTTGGGTGAAAATTACAGAATTTAAAGAACTTAGACTACCTTTTTAATCGTGAAAATTATCCAAGAAGATTTTTCTTTTCAAATAAAAAGTCTTATAAAAGTACTAGAAGATGATCAAATTAAGGATTTAAGTCAGTTTTGAACATTTTTTTTTTTTGTTATGCTGTTTAAAACTTCTTAAATCAAATGAAAACATAGCATTTTTACATTATTTTTTTTCTTGATACCCAAGTATCATACCGTTATCTTGTGATGAAGGATGAAACTTCATTGTAAAAAGGGCTTTTGCAAGAGAGTGTTATTGAGGAAAAAAATAAGACTGACATAAGAAAATGAATCATTTCCTGTTACAGATATACTGACGCCTGTACTGCAAAACATAGTGCAGCAACATATTGATTTTTTTTGCTTTTACTCAACTTTCTAAAATCAAATCTTTCAAAAAGTCATTATCAGAAAATAGTTATTGCTGGATTTTTTTTTTTTTTTTTTTTGTACTCCTCGGAAGAGTGCTTCCTTCAAGGGGAAAACCTCAGCAGTTTTCAGTTATTGTGATTAGTTTTGTTCAGGGTTTTACTTCCAATCAACAGATGTATGAATATCAGGGACTAGAGATGAATGTCAGAGAGAAATAATGATAAAGGAGAGAAGATTTAGTGGAACATTTGGCCTGTAAAGATTACATAACAAATTTGGCTTCTTCATTGAATCCATGTGCAATATAAATTCTCTCATCTGTAGAAGTTAATATGTGACATATTTTGCCTAATATACCAACATAATTTTCAAAATAATTGTTTATAAGCTTATAAATACAAATAACCACAATCAGTCGACAAACAATTTCCTTTAATACACATATATCACAGTGTATTTAATTGGTTACCTGTATGGTGTTAATCAAGAAAGAAGTATATTTTGATGCTAAGGAGAAATTTTCGATCTGAATGATAATTGACTATTTACATATGTAGATTGTGAAGGAGTATGAAGCACGTAAGAAAGAGATTGCTGCTCTGAAGGCCGAGTTGGAAAAGAGACGAAGTGCCATGGCAGGCCATCAGGAGGAGATTGAACGTGCCAAACAACAGTGGCTTGAACCACTTAAGGTTCTCATAGATACCATCAACAACAATTTTAGCTACTTCTTCTCCTGCATGAGCTGTGCTGGTGAAATAGAACTTAGTCAGCCAGAGAACCAGGTATAAAGCATAGTGATGATGTGTTTTATCGGCGCTTTTTACATGTAAAAGTGTCAGGGAGATCAGTTGGCAAGATTAATGCATGGTTTATTGTAGAGGTCAAATAAACAAGTCATTCTTGTTGAAGATGAGAACTGAAATGATAGCGATGTATTGTTGAAACATGGCTGTTTATTGTACTTAAAACCACAGTTTTAGATACTGAATCCCTATGGAACATACTTAATTTTGTGTATGACCAAAACTTTTGTTGTTTAAGAATTTGTACAAGCCTTCTTGTAGATAGGAGTACTTTCAGTAATATTTAAATAAAATTATCAATTTAGTGATGAAGTGCAAATTTTACAAGAACTATGTGAATTGTTGTATTGTAGGAGGACTATGAAAAGTATGGTGTTAAGATCAAAGTGAAGTTTCGTGATAATGAAACTCTTCGGGAGTTGACCCCACACCACCAGTCAGGTGGAGAGAGGAGTGTAGCCACAATTCTTTACATGATGGCACTACAAGAACTCGCCAAATGTCCTTTCAGATGTGTGGACGAAATCAACCAGGTATAGTCAGATCTCCTGCAATATATTTGATGAAATGTAGAGTGAAGAATATTGAATGTTAAATGCTGATGGAAGTAATCAAGATGATGGATGGCTGTCTGAAATGGAAATAGTTTTGGTTAATTTCAGCCCATGACATGTTAATTAACTTTAAAGTCAGTGATATAAAATAAATTTCATCATGTTTATAGACAGGTGTTGTTTTGCTGATTTTAACTGAAAATTCTTTGAATTACAAATCTTTGATATGGGAAGACTTAGGCCTATATATGGTCTGAACATGAACTTCCATGACAAAGCCTTGTTCTAGTGTAGAGTGTGCATCACGTTTTTGAAAAGTAAAAATTTCCTTAAAAAGTGTGCCCTATACACATATATATACATATGGTTATGTGAAAGTCATATAAAACAAGATTTTACTGCTAGAAATCTGAAACAAAAAGTGTGTTTTAACAGAAACTGAATCATTTAGTCTTACAATTAAAATGAAATACACCATCGTAAGGTTGATTATTGTAAACATAGCTTATGCGTGTTATACTTTTTTAGGGAATGGATCCTATCAATGAGAGAAAAGTATTTGAACTTGTGGTACAAACTGTTTGTAAAAAGTCTTCATCACAGTATTTCCTGCTTACTCCAAAGGTAATGTATGCCTTTTTATGTAAAATAATGGTCTCTCCAGCATTTTCAATAGACTTCCTGTTGTACACATCATAATTAGTGATGCATGAAACAATATCATCGACTAGGTATTTCAGAAAGCAATAAAACCTAATCTAAAGTCACTGGTAGTGTTGAATGGAGATGTGATATTTGTTAAATTTGAACTGTTATCATTTATTTCTATACTAAAGGAAATACAACATAGGTTTGGCAAACCTGATGTGTGTGGCTCTCAGTTTGACTTCAACATTGTCAAACACTATCAATTACTTTCATTAAGAAAAATAAAACATTACTTCCTGTTTCCAATATCTCAACTTACCTTCAAATTTTCTGCCAACTCAAACCTTTTTCACGCAATTTTCAAAGAAGAGTTAAATACATTGAGTCAAGATTTCTCTCTCTCATATAAACCATGTAAGGTTATTTGTAAAAATGAAATTTGTGGTTACCTATTCTTAACATTTAGCTCACCTAGTCTGAAGGATTATAGGGTGAAAGGGAATCAATTTTTATTTAAGTGGTGGGTCTCTGTTCCCTGAGGCAGGAAGGACAAGGCCCAAATAGAGAAATGGAGCAAATCCTTTTAAATCCTTCATTGCCCAAAAGTTGTCTGAGGAGTTAATGAGTAAAAAGAAATCCAGTTTGTATAAATGTTTGGTCTCGACCCCTTTGGGTGAGTGACAAGGGAAATACTACAATTTGTTTTTACTCCATGTTGTGTCTAAAGCATCTGACTCCTACAGTGAAGGGAACTTAATTTTGTGTAAATGATGCAACTGATGCCCATTGGGCAGAGGAATGGGGCATTATTGAGAAAAGAAATAATTTTTGTTTAGTTTAGATGAAGCATTTTCAGTTAATTAAACCAGGTCAGTGATACAGGCCAATATGCCTCTTGTTCCAACATGTTACTGGAAACAAATATTTCTTGACTGGCCTGGCAATTTTGTTTTTACTTTCCAGTAAATTGATGAATAGATAATAGTTACATAAACACTCAAATATCTGTGTTGTGTTATTAACACACCCAAATGTCTGTGTTGTGTTATTAACACACCCAAATGTCTGTGTTGTGTAACAAACACACCTAAATGTCTGTGTTGTGTTATTAACACACCCAAATGTCTGTGTTGTGTAACAAACACACCTAAATGTCTGTGTTGGGTTACAAACATACCTAAATGTCTGTGTTGTGTTATTAACACACCTAAATGTCTGTGATGTGTTACAAACACACCCAAATGTCTGTGTTGTGTTATTAACACACCCAAATGTCTGTGTTGTGTTATTAACACACCCAAATGTCTGTATTGTGTTATTAACACACCCAAATGTCTGTGTTGTGTTACAAACAAACCCAAATGTCTGTGTTGTGTTATTAACACACCTAAATGTCTGTGATGTGTTACAAACACGACCAAATGTCTGTGTTGTGTTACAAACACACCCAGATGTCTGTGTTGTGTTATTAACACACCCAAATGTCTGTGTTGTGTTATTAACACACCCAAATGTCTGTGTTGTATTATTAGCACACCTAAATGTCTGTGTTGTGTTATTAACACACCCAAATGTCTGTGTTGTGTAACAAACACACCTAAATGTCTGTGTTGTGTTACAAACACACCCAAATGTCTGTGTTGTGTTATTAACACACCCAAATGTCTGTGTTGTGTTATTAGCACACCCAAATGTCTGTGTTGTGTTATTAGCACACCCAAATGTCTGTGTTGTGTAACAAACACACCCAAATGTCTGTGTTGTGTAACAAACACACCTAAATGTCTGTGTTGTGTTACAAACACACCCAAATGTCTGTGTTGTGTTATTAACACACCCAAATGTCTGTGTTGTGTTATTAGCACACCCAAATGTCTGTGTTGTGTAACAAACACACCTAAATGTCTGTGTTGTGTTATTAACACACCCAAATGTCTGTGTTGTGTTACAAACACACCTGAATGTCTGTGTGGTGTTACAAACACACCTAAATGTCTGTGTTGTGTTACAAACACACCTAAATGTCTGTGTTGTGTTATTAGCATACCCAAATGTCTGTGTTGTTACAAACACACCTAAATGTCTGTGTTGTGTTACAAACACACCTAAATGTCTGTGTTGTGTTATTAACACACCCAAATGTCTGTGTTGTGTTACAAACACACCCAAATGTCTGTGTTGTGTTATTAGCATACCCAAATGTCTGTGTTGTTACAAACACACCTAAATGTCTGTGTTGTGTTACAAACACACCTAAATGTCTGTGTTGTGTTACAAACACGCCTAAATGTCTGTGTTGTTACAAACACACCTAAATGTCTGTGTTGTGTTATTAGCATACCAAAATGTCTGTGTTGTTACAAACACACCTAAATGTCTGTGTTGTGTTACAAACACACCTAAATGTCTGTGTTGTGTTACAAACACACCTAAATGTCTGTGTTGTGTTACAAACACACCTAAATGTCTGTGTTGTGTTATATCACCTTTCACCTTCTCCTTCAGATGGGATTTCACTGAAATTGAAACTATATAATAATATAGAAGATCTAGTATTCTGATCATAGGATTTATACTTAAGTCATCTTTGTAACCTAGAAAATATCATTGTTATAAATAATTGTCCCCACACAATATAAATCTAGCTCGTCCTGTAAGGTTTAACTCCATTCTACCAACAACAAAATAATTGTCCCCACACAATACAAACCTAGCTCTGTCCTGTAAGATTTAACTCCATCCTACCAACAACAAAGTATTTATAATTTGTTTATAATCTAAGCTCATTGACACGTTGGTAATTGTTTTGTTTCAGTTGTTGCCTGACCTTCTGTACGCTGACAATATGACAGTTCTCTGTGTGTACAATGGTCCTTCAATGTTAAACCACACAGATTGGAGTCTGAAGAAATTCATGAGGAGGCGACGTAAAATTGTAGATTAGATCCCGAGGACTAGTGGAGTTGGGATATATTTAACATAATTGTGATACATTGGTGAGAGAGAGAGAAATGAAAATGATATGTCCTAGTAAGAGAAAGTGATTAAGGTAATGTTCCATTTGGTGCCAAACTATTTTTAAGCATTGTTATATATTTTACTGGAGATGAGGCCAAATTAAATCAATGTTTTCAACAGAACTCTCCATCTTTTATTTCTTTAAGAACTTTCGGCTCTTTAATCTGTTTTAATACTAACAGAAAAAGTGCAGAAAAAAAACTGTTGATTGTTTTTGGCCTTACAGATATCGTGAATGCACGAGTTATCATCACTGTTAATTATTCATGATTAACATTCATCCTTCACACAGAAAAAGATGGAAGAATAGTTTCTGTATTTTACCTAGGAAACACTGTCATTAGTCTATTTCAGACCTAAAGATTGGTATTTTTAGTGCTAGAGATCATAACATCAATATTACTGAACAATTAAGACTTTTCATACCACTAACATGGTTTAGGAAAACTGTCAGTGCTTTGTTTTATCTCGAGTTTTGATAAACAAAATTTTCAGCTAACACAAATGTCATCAAATTGATGCAATTATTTTTGAAAAAAAAGGAAGTTTTAATTTTCAGTAATATTAGATTGTTATGTGATGTATACAGACTGAAGTGATCAAATTATATTTTGTAGTTTAGAACTAATTTCATGTGATATGAAAACAATGCAAAAACTTTTGATCATGAAACGATTTTCAGACATTCCAATTTTTTTTCTTTTTTCAGCCCATCATCATCAGATGGTAGGCAGTTCAAATCAACCCATGTCCATCATCCATTTGTAAACAATTCCTGTTTATTTAGAAGTTCTGCATAGATATTTCTCAAATTTCATTTCATATGTAGGTCGTCTTTAGTGGTGCTCTTTTGATACTGAAAGGTGGTGGTCATCATTTTTTTTACAAGGATAGTTTGTTATGTTGATTTTGAATGCTAGTGACACCCTTTTGGTTTTTTGGGGCTGATCAGGTGAACTCTCTCATTACTAAACAAATCTTCCTCAGATTTTATCTAAAGGTTCCCTTTGGTCCCTAGATGTGCCCTTTGTTACTGAATAGAAAAACAAAATTGTTGACATGCAACCATGTTGGGTTTGAGGAAGATTATAATCACTGTTTGTTGTATAAATTTTCAAATCTCATAAAAATAAGAACAAGAACAGAGAAAAAAATGAAAATAAGGTAATAGAATCATCTTTTTAAGAATTAATAAAGACCAGACAATGGTAGGTGTCAAAATACCTCTTGGATCTCTTCCTGTTTTTCTTTTTTTTTATCTTTTTCCATGTGATCTACCAGAGTTACGATTGGCTGAAGTTTCCCATAATTTTCATGGTCATGTCATTAACAGAATTTTACATTAACTTTCATTTCATAAGATTTATAAAACTTGTCACAAGTATTTGCATTTTACTTTGCAAGAAGAAATAAATTCTCAACTGGTTTCATAAATTTCGTATGAATGGTAATCCATGTAAGATCTATATATAGAATGGTGGTTGATGTTCCTAGCGAGGAATGTTGTGAGAGAAATGTCTCAACTAAGATCTTAGAGGTATGGATTTCTTTATGACATTTGTATTAAAATTACAAAGAGCTGGAATTCTTTTAATTGCATTGTTAAATGTAATTTATATCTAACCATCCGGTAGAAAAGGGGAAATTTTCTCGTTGATATTATACTTTGTAAAACTGTAAACAATAATTTGAAGAACAGTAAGAACCAAGAACTTGTTCAGAAAGTTTGGATATTGGGAGACATCTGCTGGGTAATCATTTTGAACATTGCTCTGTATTATGTCATTAGGTTGTTTATCAATTGTGTTACAGCAAGTTTGAAGATTGTCTTTTTCTTTTTGCACCTGGGAAATATTAGCATGTATAATTTGTATCTGTTCTAACAGACAAGAAACAGTGCTACTATTGAAATGTTGCACACATTGCAGTATACCTAGCTGCTGTTACTGAAGAACAGACGAGCTTATGCCATGGAGCGGCATCGAATGTCCCTCCCTTGTCCTTCAGCTTTTTACTAAATATCATTACTAGTCATAAAAGACTGCACAAATTTTGACCACATTTGGTTAGAAAGATCAATGGAGAAGGGGAACCAAGGTTGTATAAAAATGTTGGTTCACATCCCACAGGGGCCTGAAGGGTGGGTTCAAAAGGGGAAATTTTCTTTAAAGTCCTGGTCCTCCTGAAAAAATCAATGGATATTGCCTGAATTTGGTCTGAAGCATTCTTGAATGAAGAGGAATCAATTTTGTATAAATGATAGATCTTTGCCCCCTAGGGAGTGAACAGCGGGGCCCTAAAGGGGGAAATATAGAAAATCATTTAAATTCCTACTCCTCTTGTAGAAATGAATGGACATTGCCAAAATTTGATCAGAACTATTTAGCAAATTCTGTAGAATTCTACTTTTATTTTAGGAATGATTGGACCTTGCCCAAATTCGAAGTATTCTTGGATTAAGGGGAAACAGTTCAGTGTTAACTTTTGATCCTGGCTCTTTCTGGCATGAGGGATGGGCCCCAACTGAGAAAATATAAATGATGTAAAATCCTTCTTCTGTACAAGAATATTTTCCTAATTTGATCTGAAGCAATTCCTATGAATAGTCAATCTGACATCTGTTTGAACACAGGGCTGGAACCTAATGGGAAAATTCTAAAATTATTTGTCTTATATGAAATTTTTCATTTAATGACTGAATAGCTGTATTAACCAGGTAGGTGATACAGACCCTTTTGGCCTCTTGTTTGATAGACCATTGGTTTTTAATTTATCCTGTGAGAGAAGATTTTTCTTGAGGCATGTGTACCATTATTTTTAGTGCTCTGCAAATTTGCAAGTGAATGTAATGGTAATAATAATCTGTTATATAGAAAATGATATGTGACGATCTATATGCTGCATAAGTACTGCATATTGTCTTTTTCATGTTAGTACAGTACTTATACTACCAGAGAATATATTAACATATGGATGTTTTATAATTTTATATTATATATATATATAAAATATCCTTAATGTTGATTCCCTGGAGTACAACATAAACTCTTTTAGGTAACTGTAAAGCCTTGTTTATGAGTTCCCTACAATAGAGTTTTACTTGCACAATGTTTAATGCGACAGTACATACTGAAATATTGTCAAAATTTTAGATATACATATAAGTAGGGTATACTTCATGTACTGTATCATATCTTTGTTCTGGTGCAAATTTAGTATAATGATACGTCTACATTTACCAGATCTTGTTAAGCAAGTACCCCAGGGGATGATAAATTTGGCATATCTTATACTATTACTAGATCTACAGTTATATCCTTTTGGTTGAAAGTACATAAGTAATAATCTGTTTCCTGGATTTTGATTACCTCATCTGGTGTATGTCAAACTTTTAGTCTCTAATGATTCAAGGGAAACAGACAGCTGGCATGTAAATCAAAATCATGTTTAAACAAAAAAATCACGACAAAAGTTGATCAGGAAGTCATCAATATTTATCTAATGATGGCGGAAAACAAGACTAAGCTGCTGCTTCTCCACCAAGTTAACATTGACATTGGTAAGATTCCAGATTGATGTAAAGAAGTTTACTCAAGTCTAGATTATAACTAGATGATGATATGGTGTACAACTACTATCACAATAAACCAGGAGGTTCATGTACTACTTCAGTGTGAAAAACATTCAACCTTTTGGAAATCCGAAAGTCCCACTGTTCTTAGACAATATCTGCGTATATATATATATACAGGTAGCACTACTCAAGGCAATCCCAATCCCCTGAATTGGATGTTTTACCAATAACAATTTTACACAATATACAATAGCCATTATCAGATACATGTGCCCAATACTGAATTTCATTGTTTAATTAAAAAGTTGGGCTTTCTTTGATTGACAAAAGAAAAAAAATATTAGAAATGAGCATTTTGTTACATCAGTAAGACAGATATAGGGTGCAATAATTGTTCCACGTAAGTTTGTATTGTAATATAATATCAAGTTTCATTTTCATTTACAATACAAAGCTGTTGAAACATGTTTTCAAATCAACTACATTGTATTTCTTTCAAAAAAGGAAAGCTGCAGATTTTGTCCCAAAAAGATGTCAGAATTAGGTCAAGTTAGGAGTTATATAGCATGCATTTTTCCTTGCCAATTTTTTGCGTCCTTTTTTTCCCTTTCGAGCTTTCAAACCATTTTGTTCAAATATTTAGTAAAATTTATATTTTGATTTAAACGATATTTTGTTAACATTAACACAGTAACCAACTGGAAGGCATTTAGACCAGTTTAATAATTCCATGTGTTTTCTTAGTTTATGATTGGAATATGTTATTTTCTTTATTAAAAAAGACCCAACCAAGATGTTATCTGGAATTCAAAATTTGATGCAGTGTACAATTAGTTCAGAAGATTTTTTTATCGGGTTTTATTTGTTACTATTGTGTTATTATGCGAAAACTTTTAAACTCCATTCGTTCTGTCCTTGCCCCTTCTCCCTCAAGTGAAGTGGATGTAATTTATTTTCGTTTGAGTTTTAGATTATTAAATAGTTTTACAAAATTTTCTATGCAACTTATTAAAAAAACAACAGTATCAAATATGTTATATTGTTCTTTTATATAAGTAGAAATAACACCATTTGTTTTATTTTTTCTCCGTCAAAATGTCTGTCAATATTTAAGAAACAGAATCGTTTGCCAGTTGATCTACCATATAAATTCTAACCAACTTATTTTATAACAGGATGTCGGAATATGTTTTTGGGAGAGTGCAAATGTCCTATTTCATAAGTCTTGAGGTAGGAAGATGTTTTTGGACTAAACAAATGTGCTATTTTATAAGTCTGAGGTCGGGAGATGTTTGTGGGAACACTACAAATGTCCTTTTGTTTAAGACTGAGGTCGTGATATGTTTTTGGACAATACAAATGTCCTATTTCAAAAGTCTGAGGTTGGGAGATGTTTTCATGTTTCATAATTTTGTCCGATTGGTAACAAACTTCCATTACTTTTGGATTTTTAATTGGTTAATCTTGCCATCATGTGTTCATCTCAATTCTTTCCCAAATCAAAAGGTTTAAGTTTAGAACATTCCGTCCTTTGTGAATATACAATGAAT